TCTCTTATACTGATCTCCTGAATGGACGAGGCGGGACTACAAGGGGTGGGTCATGATAATTACAGTACTTATTCCAGAGTTTGTATTGCACATTTGGATACTAAAACAATAAAATAAACCTTGTTTAAAAAATAAAAAAGCATAATTAATGAGCACAAATAAGGTATAGTTGTATTAACCATACATGTAAACAGTTTTATGGGGCCTACAGGAACTAGCCAACTGCCTAGTTTTTTTTGTTTTTTGTTTGTTTTAACCCAAATAAAAAACAGGGATTTGTTTTCAAAGGTTGAAGAACTTGTGTTCTGTCTGCTTTTGATATTTCTGTGTAGAAGGCATCTAATGATAAAACTTTGTGTGATCTGCTCCTTGCAGACGTCTCCTGCTGCACACTGGTGGTTTTGACCTTTAGAAGAGGATAAAATGATGAATAAATGTTTCGTTTGAGTCAAATAAACACCACTGGTACTGGTGCAGTTGGCATATTTCACATAATTGTGGCTTTTTTATTTGAAATAAAAAAAAAATAGAGCCTGCTGTTCATGCTTGTGTTGATGTTTTGCTTGAATGCTGTGGCGACATGACGTCCTCCCCACCCCTACGGTGGAATACTGATGATGGTTAGTGGCAACAGAGATCTCAGACAACACTGTTATCAATAACACTTTATTTCCCACCAGCAACCCCCCCCCCCAGATCTGAGGTTAAAGGTTAAAAACAAGCAGCCAGCAAAGGGGGCAAATCAAGCTGTACTTTAAAAACTCATCAGGGCGGAGCTGTGACCCTTCAGGCTCTCCAGCACATTTTTTAATAACCTGCTAATTTGACCCAAACTAAAGAAAAAACTCTTTCATTCTTTATTGGATTTAAAAGCAGATTTTTCCACAGTGATCCTTGCACCAGTTTTTATTTTCCAGTGTTTACGGCCACCGTCAGACTTCCTGTTAACCCAGGGTGTTTAGTGTTGCCATAACAACAGATTTAGAGATAACACATAAAAAAAAAAAACTGTTCATAATGAAAAACCCTCCTCATCCTCATCTGGATCACCGCTGCTTCGTGGTCAGTCCCTGCAGTGGGAGGTAAGGCAGATCCTGAGCCGGACCTCCTGCTCACATCCTGCCGTATCGCCGCTTATCTAAGAACAGGAAAGCATTCCTGAACAGAATGCTCTCAACTTTACTGCCTTTCAAAATAAAAGCGTGTCTCATAAAGAGGCATTCCACCAATAAAAATCATGTTAAATATTCATAAAACAAGGAGCCAAACCAGGCTTAGTGTAAAAAAAAAATAAAAATAAAGGTTTACACTAAATATTCTGTTTCACATGTTGGAGTTTCATAGACCACTTCTCTGGATTTTCTGTTCAGTTTGCAGCCGCTGCTTCAGTTTCAGTGCAGTCATCAGAGAGGGTGCCCTGGGACATTTTAAACCATCTTTAACTAAAAAATATTAGTGATAAGCACAGCTAGTATCATCATCAACAACATGTTCTAGAACATTAGGATCTATACCCTAACTCTCCGTAAATTCAAGCATGTTCCACAACAGACTGGAGCTTCTTAGCTCTGCTGCAGCCGATGGAGACAGACAGACAGGAGACAGACAGACATCCTTTAAAAAGCTTGGTCCAGCTCTGAGCTTCCACCCAGTTAGAGGCTGAAACAGTTCCTTCCCAGTCTCAATCCCTCAGTGGCAGAGTTAGTCTAAGCATCACCAAAGAGTGTTTAGTGTGGTCTTTAACTGGCCGACGCCCAGTGAGGGCGTGAAAAGGGTGAATAGCAGCTCCCAGAGTCAGAAATGTTCTCCTATAGTTTTCCTCTATTTTGATAACTGACTAATTCATAAGAAGCTAAACAGGAAGATATTTAGATTCCCATTCCTGTTGAAACCATAAAATGTTTCATTCCTGAACAGAAAACCTCTCCTCCACCGTCATCAACAGCGTGAACCTCAGATTGCAGGAGGAGTCAGTCCCTTCATCCCCAGGCTGGTCTGTTGCCACTCGGGTCACAGCGAGCAGCCAATCAGATCAGAGGAGCTGCTATCAGACGTTAATTACAGCATCATCCTCTTCATCCCGCAGTTCACCCAGTACTCTGTTTCCTAAGGCCCCTCTTCCTCCTGTTGATCTCATCTCATCCCCTTCTTCTGCGAAGGCCCCACAGGGGCCAACAATGTACCTGTAGTCCCCTCCGATGGCCATTGCAGCCTCTGAGGCCACCATTAGCCAGTCTTCCTCATCCTCTGCCCCCCGCTGCCAGGGAACGCCCCAGCTGGAGGCCTCTGCTGTAGCCTCAGGTCCCAGGATCCGGGGCCCAACAGCTCCTCCTCTGTCCATCTCCCTGTTGTCCTCTTCTAGGTTGACGTAAAGTAAAGGCTCCTTCAGAGGAGTGGTGGGGGTCAGGGTGAGATGCAGCGCCTCAAGCTGAGTGACCAGCTGCTGGAAACTGGGACGGCATTTAGGGACCGGGCTCCAGCATCTGTGCATGATCTCGTAGCTGTTAGGCAGAAGAAAAGAGTTTCAGGTCACAGCATCACAACATCTTTATCTACAGTAATTAGAAAGTTCCTCATAAATATGGAAACTAACAGAAATGTAAAACATGATCATAAAAAAACTTCCCAGAAGAACTGGAGATGAAGTTTATCTTCCTGAAGTCCACCAATCCTTTTCTGATTTAGTTTAACCTTTTCTTATGTTCAGGGGTGAAAGTGGCCCTGCAACCGGAGGGTTGTCGGTTCAAGCCCCGGCTCCGCCGTTCAATGTCGTTTTGTCCTAAGGTAAGATACGCCCGGTGGTGCCAGTGTAAGACAGCCTCTCATCTCTTAGTGAGCCCCAGGGCAGCTGTGGCTACAATGTAGCTCACCACCATCAGTGAATTGGTGAATGTAGTGTAATGTAGTGTAAAGTGAATGTAGTGTAAAGTGCTTTGCTCAAGTCCTCTGACTTGAAAAAGCACTATATATGTATAGGCCATTAACCATTTTCTGACGTCGTCTAATTATTCCTATTGTTGTCCAACCCTTTTCTGACATCCTCCAACTCTTTCTGACACCATGAAATGTGAGGGTGGTGGCTGCATTATGCTGTGGAGATTTATATGCTGAAGAACAGGGACCTGCTCAGATATATGGGGGGATGGATTAAACTAGAAATGGAGTAAACCTGGAAGCAGATCTGTCAGATGCCTCAAATATCTGGAGTCAGAAGAGCGACCCAAAGCAAAAACAGAACCGCCTAGCCCAAAGCCTTGACCAGTGCCTCTGATGTTAGGTTCAGACCACACATGACAGAAGCAGCAAAAAAAGCTTCTGCTGCTTCATTTTTAATGCTTGTACACATTAAGGTCAGACGCGTCCAGTAAAGTGTGTCTAGATGCTTCTGCTGCTCCTGTGTTTAATGCCAGAGAGCACTTTTGTTATATTTACTGTGATCAGTGGGTAAAAAGTAGTTTGAATCTATTTTGAAGTGAGAAAGTCCTCCTAAAAAAACATGGTCTGTGCAGTCAGTTCATCCAGATTACCATCCTGCCTTCAAAGATTATTTCTCTGTGGGAGCCGCTCAGACCCCCACATAGCGGCGGGGCGCTGTCACTGGGAATCCCCAGCAGCAGCTGCCTCAGGCCCGCTCGCCTCTTGGGGGTTTTCCCCTACTGTTGGTGGTGTCTGGAAGTAGATGTTAGCGTTTTTCAGGTCTGTGCTACAAACTGCAGGCAGCAGGATAATAAAAGCGAACATATTTTGCCGGCAAGTTTCTACATTTTAAGTTAATTTAGGCGTTAATAAACTGTTTCAGAGGAGTGATCATAGCGCTCTGCATCAGCAGTGCTGTGTCTGACTCCCTGCCGGCTCCCAGATCAGCTTCTCTCATTGGTTGATGTGGCGCGTCCAGCAGCTAAAGTTCAATGTTTCCAACTCCAGCATCAGCTGCTCTAGATGCTGCAGGACCTTTTGCTGCGCCTTAATGCTCATCAACCATTGCTTTGCATGTAACTCTGCTGCTTCTGCTGACCTCTTTCACGGGCGGCCTGAATGTAGCATTACCCATCTCCACAGCAGAAGCATCTGATATTTAATTGGAACTGAAATCGAATTGACTGTAGTAGGATTGAGTCCCGGACCTGCTGACCTTTACTGAACGTCTCTCCTCTCTCTTGTAACCCACTTTCCTGTCTGCATACTTTGAAAAATAAAAAAATATAGGCCACTAGACCCTAAAAAGGAATCTTAAAAAACGAAATTAATGCAAAATGAATCCAGGTATACACCTTTGGGTGATTTAATACTGACCAGTGGCTGACATTTTCAGATAAATGATAACATACATCATGTGACATACCCACTGAAACGGTAAAGCAAATTGCCTACCAAAGAACACGACTCCCCCACTCCCCTCTCATCTGGAGTGCAGGTGAACACCACACAGACACACACCATTATGGCTCCTACACAGAACTACACCCAACTGGGAACCAGTCTCTAGTTGGTGGGACATATCCACACTTTTAACTGAATGCAGTGAGTGGACCCAGCCAGGCTGAGTATAAAGGAATACCCCTGTCCTTCCAGTTCAGTTTATCCCCACATCAAATCCTCTGAAGTTTGTGGTAAAACATGACAAGGTGCAAAATAAATTCAAGGTGTTTAAAAAACTTTAGCAAAGCAGTGTAGTTTCTATTCTCCCATAGACTCACATGTCCTCTCTGCAGTCTGCAGGTTTCTTCAGGCGCTCTCCTTTGATCAGGAACTCGTAGATCTCTGAGTTTTCCACCCCAGGATACGGCGTCTGACCTCTGGTCATGATCTCCCACATTGTTACACCAAACGCCCACTGAAACAAATCAAATCCCATCCATTCAGACACAGTACAGCTTATTGTTGCATTTGACCAATTAGTAGAGCCCTTGAATTATATATTACCTACTGTAAATTAAGTTAGGAAAAAAAAAAAAGTTAATTCAAGAAAAAAGGTTTTGCTTCCTTTTCGGGTGTAGTGGGGGTTACCTTCAACTGGATGAAGGCACGGGACTCTGGCTGGATAACTCAATCCCAGATGACTGATTGATAGATTGGGTTGTACCATCTGGAGTCCTAACTTTAATATTCTGCATAATCTCTCTTTTGCGACTTGCTAATTTTGTTTAATTATTAGTGATTTAAGTTTTATCCTTAAGCTAACTGTTTAGTTTTGTTAAGTCTGTGTAGATGTTCTTCTTCCCTCTTCCTTAATGTGTCTCATCAGTCAGTATTTACAACCAAAAATGTTGACTTAGAAATAAGTCAACATTTCTTAAATTAAATGTATTTACTCTAATTTAAGCACATTAATAAGATGATTTGCAAATGAAATGAGTTTTTACTCTTAAAGTAAGTAAATGTTAATTGTCTTTAAACCTGTCTACTAAAGGACAACAAGAAATGTTGACTCATATTTAGATTGTTTTTTGCGGGGCACAATGATTTTCCTTGTCTGAACATAGATAGACCATGGAGCCAGGAAACAAACTACAAATCCAATCAGCAAAGGAAATCAGTGCTGGAGAAGAGGAAATGGAGGCTGGAGCTTCTACAATGGCAGAAGACACTGAGGGCGAAGATATCGTTGAACCAACGGTGAGGGACCTGACTGGGACCTTGCATGCATTCAGGGGCCAGCAGGAGGCAGGGGAGGTCAAGTTAAACCAAGGAAGACAGGAGAAATTTTTTAAACCATATGACATCCTTTTCAGTGTCAGTGTAGCGACTATCTACCACCTTTTAATGGCTTCTGGCCGTTCCCACTGAAGTCAGTTTATAAATGAACAAATAATCTCAGTGGCGGGCTTTTACAACAAGTGAGATGGACAGGCGATCATGGAGAGTGTGGGTATGACAGAACTTAACCAGTGGAGGACGTTGTCACGATTTGGTTTTTAGGTTTTTGTTAGGAC